GGGGATGAGGAGCCCCAAAGGCCGTGGGGACTGTACATTTGAGGCAGTGTCTCCCCAGAAGAGAGATTTTCGGTGGAGGGTGCAGACTAGGTTTTGTGGGTCGTGCTTGCCAGCCCGAGGAGTGCCCCGGATCTGGCCCGAGCTGCAGGCCGGCGGGCGCGCCCCTCTGCCCGGAAGATGTCTGTCCTGGAGCTGCCACCGCCCCTGAGTGAGGTACAGCCGGGGCCTCTCGCTGTTCCTCTTGCTCAGGTCGTACGGCAGAACCCAGCCAGACCCTCCCTCCGCCTGCCTTTCCCGCCTCCTTTCTTGTTTGCTCCCTTTCTGTTCACACAGTGACAGTGGCACTCCAGCTCCTGCCCTTAGGGCTTTCTTACCTCCGGCCACCCCGGGGACTAATTTGAGTCCTCCTGCCTCACCTGAGTGGTGGCTGGTTTCTCATCCTCCGCTGTCCTGGCCTCACTCGGCACACTGTGGAGCAGGCAGGCACATCCCGGCAAGCTTCTGGTGTGTTCCGACTATGTGGCACGACTCCGGCCAGGGAAGGCACCCCTCTTTCCACCCTCCGCAGTTGGGGCCTCGCCATCTGGGAAATGAAAGGGTTGGATTCTGTGATCTTGAGAGTCCCTTCCAGCTGCAACATTCTAGGGGAAGATTTGAATGCCCTCTTTTTGAAGCTCAGAGTTCTGTAGGAAAATGATTACCATAAAAATGTTTCCAGGTTGGTGCACTGGCTTCTGTCAGGGCCTCCCTGTTTGACAACGGCTGTGCAGACTTAAGTGATATTTACGCACAAAAATGTTTTACTGTGGGAAGCCATCATTACTCTAGTGTCAGGGGCCAAGGATAACACCCCATTACAGGCCTTCCCTGTTACATGAAGAAAGAAAGATTCATTCACTCATTCAGCTAAGCCCACTGTGTACCCAAGGCTGTACTAGGTGCTATAAAAAATGTGCCTGATCTCATCATGGGCTCAGAGAACACAAAATCATCAGAGTTTGGAAGGAAAGGACTAGTCATATAGCATAACCCATCTCCTCCTCCTGCTAGGTGAGAGTCCCTCTGCTTCAGCCACTCCTCAGGGAGAGGCAAAGGCCACTGCACCTCAGCTCGAAAAGTCTAACAGTTGTAGCCCCTGTACTCCCGCCCACATCTGGCACTTGACGTGGTCACACAAGAGCCCTGGCCAGAGTCACACTTGCCCCCAGATCTGTTTGCTTCTAGCCTAGTTGTCTTTCTCTGGTGTCCCAGCTGTCCCAGATCATGAGAAGAAAACGTTTCCAGAAGAGATAAGTGAACGTTCAGAAATGGACACTCACCCGTCTCTGGTTGGTCTGACAGCTAGTTAGTGGGACCTTTTGCTCCACGTTTAGTTCGTTCCACTGCAACCCAGCTGTTTCCCCACTGTGTCCTGTGTGCCTGCCTTGTGGACCCATAGGTGAGATGTCACAGGGATCAAGGTGAGGTCATATATTTTAAATCTAAAAAATCCAAAAGGGTCAGTCAGAGAAGACTTGGCAGTACCTGCTGAGAGATTTGGGGGACTTATAGACAGTCAGGTCAAGGCAATGAGATGGAGTCACCAAGTCTTTGGTAAGGTTTAGAGGTGTGCATCCCAAATGGGGCAGGGGATACTTAGGCTGACCCTTGCCACTAACAACTCACTCATGGAGGCAAGACAAGCCAGTTGATTGGCTTGGAAGGCACCAAGCTCTTTGTTCCTGGAGAGGGGAAAATAGGGGCTTGATGATCACAGGAAAGTTTGCAGTTCTAGGAATGTCTTTTTTGATGTGATGGTATGAGCTTCCATGGCCCCATGCATTCCCAGAAGAAACGTCTGCTTTAACATGTCTTGGGGACTCAGAGCCATGTTGAGAGGAGAAGTAGGGGATGCTGGCTGTCTGATCCCACTCCTGAGGCATGTGGAAAGCAAGGTACCCATGTGTCCCAGAGGAATACGAGGCATCAAAGTGAAAGTGACAATCCCCCAGTAAAGTGGGTGGCAGATGGATAAGTGGGTGACTTGAGGACAAGGTGCCTAACAGATTCTTTCTTTCTTTTTCACAAACTAAAGGTTTGTGACAACCCTGTGTTGGGAAAGTCTATCAGTGCCATTTTTTCCAACAACATGTGCTAACTTTGTGTTTCTGTGGCAGATTTTGATAATTCTTGCAATGTTTTGAACTTTTTCGCTATTACTATATCTGTTATGGTAATCTGTGGTCACAGGTCTCTCTCACTTTAAATCAAAAGCTAGAAACTGATTAAGCTTAATAAGAAAGGCATGTCAAAAGCTAAGATAGGCCAAAACATAGGCTTCTTGTACCAAAGTTGTGAATGCAAAGAAAAAATTCCTCAAGGGAATTCAAAGCGCTATTCCAGTGAATGCAGGATGACAAGAAAGCAAAACAGGTTTGTTGCTGATAAGGAGCACGTGTGAATGGTCTGCATAGAAGACCAAACCAGCCACAACGTTCCCTTCAGCCAAAGCCTGATTCAGAGCAAGGAGTGAACTCTCTTCAATTCTATGAAGGCTGAGGGAGGTAAAGAAGAACAGCTGGGAGCTAGCAGAGGTTGGGTCATGAAGTTTAAGGAAACAAGCCATCTCCACAAAATAAAAGTGTAAGGCGAAACAGAATATGCTGATATAGAAGCTATAGCAATTATCCAGGAGATCTAGCTAAGAACATCGAGGAAGGTGGCTACAGCAAACAACCGCCTTTCAATGTACACAAAACAGCCTTATATTCCCTTATATGCCATCTAGTACTTTCATAGCTAAACAGAAGTCAATGCCCAGCTTCAAAGCTTCAAAGGACAGACTGACTTTCTTGTTAGGTGCTAATGCAGCTTGTGACTTTAACTTGAAGCCAATTCTCATTTACTATTCTAAAATTCCTAGGACCCTTAATAATTATGCTAATTCTTCTCTCCCGGTGCTCTATAAATGGAACAACAAAGCCTGGATGACAGCATATCATGGTTTAGTGAATATTTTAAGCCCACTGTTAAGATCTACCACTCAGGAAAAAAAAAAGATTCTTTTCAAAAGATTACTGCTCACAGACAATGCACCTGGTCACTGAAGAGCTCTGATGGAGAGGTACAAGGAGATTAATGCTGTTTTCTTGCCTGCTAACACAACACCCTTTTGTAGTCCATGGATCCAAGAGTAATTTCAACTTTTATGTCTTATTAAGAAATACATTTCATAAAGTTATGGCTGCCATAGATAGTGATTCCTCAGTCTAATGGATCTCGGCAAAGTAAATCAAAAACCTTCTGGGAAGAATTCACCATATTAGATGCAACTAAGTACATTCATGATTTACAGGAAGATGTCAAAATATCAGCATTAACAGGTGTGTGGAAGAAGTTTATTTCAACTCACAGATGACTTTGAGGGGGTCTGTTTCAGTGGAGGAACTGCAGATATGGTGGAAATAGCAAGAGAACCACAATCAGAAATGGAGCCTGAAGTTGTGACTGGATTGCTGCGATTTTATGATAAAACTTGGATGGATGAGGCATTGCTTCTTATGACTGGGCAAAGAAAGTGGTTTTCTGAGATGAAACCTACTCCTGGTGAAGATGCTGTGAATGTTGTCAAAATGACAACAAAGGATTTAGAATATTACATAAATGTAGTTAATAAGATAGCAGCAGGGGCTAAGAGCATTAACTCCAATTATGAAATAAGTTCTCCTGTGGGTGAAATGCTATCAAACAAAAGCTCATGCTGTAGATAAATTTTTTGTGAAAGGCATATTCAGGTAACGGGGAAACTTCATTGTTGTCTTCTCTTAAGAAGTTACTACAGCCACTTTAACCTTCAGCAACCACCACCCTGATCAGTCAGCAGCCATCAGAATTAAGATAAGATACCATCAGCTAAACGATTACCACTTCTGAACACTCAGATAATCATGATCATTTTTTAGTTTTTATATTAAGGCATGTGTCTTTTTAGACATAAAAAGGGGTCGGAACCTGTGGCCTGTTAATTTCAAGATTTTCTCACCAAAGGAGGCAAGAAAAGCTTCATCTTTCTCCACTACATCCTTTCAGTAAAAAGGGTTTATTCTGTAAAATATGGATTCAGTCAAAAGGCCACAATCAACAATTCAGAAGGCCACGTGTGGCTCCAAGGCCACAGGTTCCCCCTTCTGAGTTGATTTGTTATGAGATTCCCTTTGTTACAGTTGTCTGGAGCCCAACCTGAAATAATTCTGAGGCATAAGGTGCCTTGTATGAGATTTCATTCCATCCCTTTACCTAGTTGTCTGTGGTGGTCATCATAGTCTAATTCAATGTTTTTTTTTTATTTTTTAATTTTTTTTTTGAGACAGTCTCACTCTGTTGTCCTGGGTAGAGTGCAGTGTCATCATAGCTCACAGCGACATTTTCAAGAAAATTGTTTTCTTTCTCTTTTACCTTTATGGAGAGGTTTTAGGCTAGGACAAAATTTTGTTTCTATTTCTCCCAACAATGTACATAAACTCACGTGTGTGCCGGCACACACACACACACACACACACTCATATCTTCACACACACAATGAAGTGCACGCACACACACAAAACAGAGAAGAGAAAACCAACCACCACAACCCAAAACAGAATTTATAGCTATTTCTCATTGCGATCTTGCAAGAACTTTTGAGTTTTCCCTTGGATTTTTCTCACTCTCTCACTCACTCATTCGTCAATTATGTATTTATTTTGTTCAATGAATATTGGAAGAGCAGCTGGGGCGGGGGTTACCCGCCCTCACGAGATGGAGAGTGAGAGGCCGAGATTTCCACCCCGGCCCCTGCCTGAGCGGCGGGAAGGCGGGGACTGCACAGCGCCCCGGGCCTAGACCCTTCTCAGTTGGGCGGCGGGGCGGCGGGGCTGGTTGGCCTGCCAGGCCCCGCCCTCTGCTGACTGGAAGACGCGCTGCTCCAGACCAATCACAGCGCCCCGAGTTGGAGACGGGCAGCGTCCCGCCCCGCCCCCTTGACACTAAGAAGACCGTGTGGAAAGCCATCTCTTAGGGCTGAGGCGCCCGAACCCCGGGCTCTGAGTCTTGGTGAGCCCCGGCCTGCTTTCTCGGCTTTGATACTCGCTCTTTCTTTCAGCCAGCTGGTCGCAGGCTCCCTCTTAAAGCTTGGCCCTTTTGGAGCACAATGTCTAAATATCTGGGGAGGGGGAGCGGTGGCCCTGTCACCATGTCAATCCTCAGGGTGGCCTTGCCTAGTTCCTCTTCTTGTACAGTAGTCTGTGGTTGCTGACCCATCTAGAAAGCACCTGAGCCAGGATCCATCACCTTGGGGTTGGTAACTGGAGCCCTGCCACCCCAAATGAGCCGTGGTTTCTCTTTTTGTATCAAACCCCTGGTGTGCCAGGGCACTCAGGACCCTAGACTTACCCCATGCCTTGATGGGCAGGTATTGGGGACCATTTCACAATCCCCCGGTGCCTACTTTTCCTTTGCCAGAAGGTCCATGGGCTCTACTAGTATCCTGCAGGTGGGGTAAATGGGCGATAAAAGTGGTGAGCCATGGACTCTGAGCATTCTCTGGCTCTAGTAGCAATGCCCCTCGCTGGCTCTAAGATCACAGCTTAGTCATTTGGTAAGTAGAGCAGGAAGAGGTTGCCTGAGTAAACTTCAGGGCAACTGATTGAGCATCAGGAGACAAGGGGCATTATGAGGTCTTCACCATTTTTTTTCTCAGCCTCAGTTTTCCCTCCTATGAAATGGGAGTAGTATAAATTGTAGGGACTGTGAACGTGATTAGGATAATGAAGCACGAGACATGTACTTTAGGAAACAGTGGTGGCCAGAGGCCAATGTGAGGTGAGGAAGACCCTTGGAGTAAAATTCAGTTCATTGTCCAGGGGGTCCTGACAGTGGTGTTTTTTACTATTGCTATAATAACCTCTAGCTCAGACCCATTATTTTTTTTCCTCTGGGAGTGGAACTATGTTTTTAATAGGGGCATATTTTACCAATTTCTATTTTTTTTAAACACCTCACACTCTACGTTACAGAGAAGCCAGAGTTACTGTCTCTCTTGCTCTTTTCTTTTTTTTTAGGTATGAGTTTTGTTGATTGTATATTTCCATTTTTCTTATGTCTTAGTTTTAAAAATACCAAGCTGTACCCAGCTAGGGTTTGTAAAGTATCGGTTGGTGTTTCAAGCATGGTTGTCCTGTCCAGCCCCACAACCAGCCACCCAAAAGAGAACTGTAGGAGACTATGGTTTTGTGGGCCAGTAAAGCAAACTGGGGGAGGATATTTGCAAAACTTAAATTTGGGGTATATTTTCCATGTCACTGGGTTAGTAGTACAAGTTTACAACCATGTGGTGGAGAAAACACTAGACTGAGAGTTAAGAACTATAAATTCTGTCAGGTAGCATCAGGGAAAGCTATAGGGTGGGCTGCCATTTACCCAGCTGACTTCACCTCAGTGAAGTTTTTACCTATTAGTTTTGAGCGTCTGGAACCTGATTTGGAATTTCTGAGAGTGAGTCAGTCTCTTAAAGGTAGCTTTACATGAATCACACAGGGCTTAATGTATATGCCACTTAAATACTTTATTAACTTGTGAAAAGAAATAAAATTGCCACATGGATGGAAAAAAAAAAGAACTATAAATTCTCTCATCCTCTCACTGACCCAGGAAATTAGGGGCAAGTCACTTCCCATATTTAACTCTCAGTTTCCTCAACTAAGGAAGTCTGGGGCTCTTTCAGTGTGAGAATTAGTTTCTTTTCTCAGGAGAATAACTGAGGCACTACTATTGATTCCTCTGTAATGGTCACACCCCTGCCATGCTATTTCATTCCCATGGCAACCGCTCTGTTTGGGTTCCACTTGGCTCTAATTCTTTAGCAGCTGCTGCAGATAGGCGGCTTCAGGGCTTTGTTGAGGAGGAAGAGTGCTGGCTAAATTCTTTCCTTCTCTTACAAGCTAAAAGTTCCCCCCTCTACCTCAGTACACACACAGGGAATGTTTGTAGGGTGTGTAAGTCAGCAAGAAAAAGAGGTACAAGAGCTCCAGTTTATTAAAAAGCAAACACAGATATGTAAATTAGATTAGATGTACGGCATTCCCCTCATTTATGAATAGCTACACATGAAGGTGTAAAAGTGCTGCCCTGGGGGGCGGCGCCTGTGGCTCAAAGGAGTAGGGCCCCGGCCCCATATGCTGGAGGTGGCGGGTTCAAACCTAGCCCTGGCCAAAAACTGCAAAAAAAAAAAAAAAAAAAAAAAGTGCTGGTCTTGGAGTCAGGAGTCCAGCTAGGCCCCAGGAAATGTATGTGTGACTTCTGGCAAGTTCTCACCCCTCTCTGGGCATGGTTTCCTCATATATACAATAGGGAGTTTAGTCTACTGCTATGGGTTTGAATTGTGGGTGCTCACCCAGCCCCCAAATTCATATGCTGAAGTCCTAACTCCTGGTCCCTCAGAGTGACTTTTTTGGGAAATAGCATTATTACAGATGTAACTAGTTAAGGTCATACAGGAGCAAGGAGGGCCCCTAATGCAATGACTGGTATCCTTATAAAAAGGAAATCTGAATGCAGATATAGATGTGGGGAGGTAATCTAAAGAGACATGCAGGCAGAGATCAGGTGATGCTTCTATAAGCCAGGGAATGTCAAAGATCATCAGCAAACCACCAGAAGCTAGGGGAAAGGCCTGGTACAGATCCTTTCCTCACAGCCTTCAGAAGGAACTGACCCTGTGAATACCTTAATCTCAGACTTCCAGCCCCTAGAACAGAGAGATAACTAACTTCTGTTGTTCAAGCCCCTCAGTTTGTGCTACTTTGTTATGGCAGCTCTAGTCAACTAACACAATTCTGTATGTGGTTCCTGATTTTCACCACTAAGAACTCTTTTGCTTTTTGTCCTCCCATGGACCCAATTCACTTATTTAACAAATATTTATGGAGTGTCTATCAGATACCAGGCCCTATTCTAGGCACAGGGGATATATGAAGTCACAAAGCAAAGATCCCACCCCTCATGTTTATTCTGTTTTAAAAGAGTTCATATGCTGAGTATGTTATGGCTTATTTTATTTTAATAATAATTTGTGTACACTACTTCCTTATGAGATAACCAGGATAAACTCATTGTGATGGAATTAATGCCCCAAATAAAAAAGGTGATATTTTAAGTAGCTTTCAGTGCCTTAAAACAAGTAAATACATTCATCAGTTTTTTAAAAATTGTCCTCAGAACCACCATTATTCCATTTATGGGACCCAAGGGGGTCTAAGGACCTAACTGTGGGTTGTTAGGTGCAGCTGATATCCATAAACTTTCTCTGTAAAAGAGCCAGACAGTAAGCATTTTGGACTTTACAGACGATTCCCTCTTTCACAACTACTCAATGCTGCCTTGTGGGCAATACAAACTAATAGGCACGGCTGGGTTCCAAAATTTTCTTATTTTCTTATTTTTTATATTTTCTTATTTTTTGAGACAGAGTCTTACTCTGTCACCCTGAGTAGAGTGCTCTGGTGTCATAGCTTACAGGAACCTCAAACTCTTCAGATCAAGTGATCCTCTTGCCTCAGTTTTTCTGTTTTTTTAATAGAGATAGGGTCTTACTTTTGCTCAGGCTGGTCTCAAACTCCTAACCCAAGCAATCCGTCTGGCTCAGCCTCCCAGCGTGCTAGGATTAGAGGCATAAGGCACTACGCCTGACTCCCAAATTTTACTTATGTACATTGAGATTTGAATTTCATATAATTTTCATGTGTTTTCACATATTATTTTGACTCTTTCAACCATTTAAAATGGGAAAAAAACATTCTTAGGTCAGGGGCTGTAGATAAATAGGTGGGAGGCTGTATGTATTTGGTTGGCTGGCCAGTTTGCCTATCCCAGAGCTAGGTTCTCTCTAGTTCTGTCTCTAGTTCTATCATTAGGTTGTTATTCAACGAGGTGAAGCCGAGAGAGGGATTACCAAGTTTGAACTAAAACCCCCAGGCTTCCTCCTACCCAGTCCATTGCCTTTTCCACCCCTCTAAACTGCTGGTTTAGTCATGATTTCAAAAGTGGTCTTTGTATCCTTGTGGTGCAGAAAATAGATGTGTGGTCAGTGGCCCTTTCCAGGCGTTGACCATGTAAGGGCTGTCCTCTTATTAGCAGCCAGTGGCAACCTAATTTTGTCAAGCCTGACCCTAGGCTTACGCACCCTTTTCGTTTATACTTTTCTCGGATTGCGCAGGCCCAGGAGGCCCATCTGTCCTTACTATTTGAGTCCCTGTTGTCTCATTGGCAGCTGAGCAGCTGCAAAATATGTTTTTAACTTTTAAGTGGAAGTTAGGGTCACCGGCAACAGGCCTGAAACAGTCACTCTCAGCAAGGGCTCTTTCAACTCTGACATTCTGTAGTTTTACGAACTTGGGTGAGTGTTAAACCAACTCCTCCCAGCTTCCAACGGCTGGACTTCCTTCCATGCGGGCAGTAATTAATGAGGCGTTTGTTTACTGGAGGAATAACATGCACTACTTTTTTGTGTTGTTGTTGTCATCACTGGAATCCGCTCCGTTGCCTAGCACCACAGCCGTCTGCCTGGTAGTCCTTTCTCCTGGCTCATCTGCTTGGGTATCCCCGCAGACGCAGCTTGGCTACAGGGACCAAGACGAGGACAAGAGGTGCTTACGCGAACGCGAGGTGGCGGCTACACCCACCGACCAGTAAGACCATGTTGCGCGGCAAGTCCCGGCTCAATGTGGAGTGGCTGGGCTACTCGCCCGGCCTGCTCGTTGAGCAGAGACAACTCCTGGCAGCGCGCACTCCTCGGAGCCCCCGCCGGTAAGTCACGTGAGCGCTCCTCCGTCTCCGCCCCGCCCCCCCCGCGCCTGCGCCTGCGCGGCGTGGGCTTGCGTCACCGCTCTGCGCCGCGCCTGCGTACCGCGGGCCAATTCCAGCGTGGCCCGCCTAGACCGATCGAGCTCCTGTGTTGCTGAGCGCGGACTCCGAGTCCAGCCCGCTGCCTAGAGCCTGCTCCCTGCACGGCGACACCATGGAGCGCCTGGATAAAGCGGCGCTGAATGCTCTGCAGCAGCCCGAGTTCAGGTAGCCCCGAGCGGGGTCCAGACCACGAGGCGGTCCGGCCCCAGCCTGGAGCAGGGCATGCAGGAAGGCCCTAGCAGAATGGGGTGGGCGTGCAGTCCGGCTGAAGGGTTGGGGAGATGGAAAGCAGGTTAGGGCCTGCGGCATCTGCACACCCGGCCTCGACCTTTTAGGATCATGGGGGATAGGTCAGTCAGTGGGCCTTCGGTTCGTGCTGCTCCTGTCCTAGCATTTCCGCCGTCTGTGTTGCTACCTTGCTGTCTGCAGTTTCCCTATTTCAGGGTGAGCTTTCTGAGGACGAAACCTGGCCACCTTCATCGCCTATTCTCTACAGGGCCTGCATCGTTGGGGCTTAATGAATGTATTGTATGAATGAATGGATCGAAGGAAATCGCCCCTGGGTGTGGGATTGCTGCACTTGGGGAATCAGGATGGGGCCTGGTGGCTGAGCAGGAGTCCAAGAGAGGGCAGGGGATTCTGACCCACCCCAGTAGGCAGGGCAGTAGTGAGGGAGTTAGCTACCATTCATTGAGATCTGTGTGCCAAGCTTAGTGTAGGTGGTTGACATACATTATCTGAATTTTTAATTTGTCTAACTGATTAGTTTCCTGTTTTTATTGACTCAAGGTAAGTGACTTGGCCGAGATAACAGAATTAGAACACACAATTAGTAAGTGTTAAAGCTGCTGTCTGAGCAAGCTTGCTGACTCCAAAAACATTGAGTTTTTGAGCCCTGTGATCTTTTATATCCCCCCACAGTGTCAGTGTATTATTTTAGGTTACTATTCATTTCTAAGGATACCAACCAATATTTTTATTAGATATGCTTAGAATACACTGTAGCCCTCCTAGATGGTTTTTAATTTTCTAAAGAAATTTGCAGTGAAATCTTGGCAGTGCAAGAAAAAGTTCTGTTGTAAGTCTTGCTTGGCACAAAGGGGAATGTGGATGGCTCTATCAGCTCAGTGTTTGCTGCAGAAGTTTGTACTAAGTGTGAAAACTCTAGGTGGTGTTCTGAGTGGGGACACAGTAAGGTTCATCCAGAACTTTGTCCTTTGAGGGCAACTTTAATTCTGGCCCTTATAACTCTTCTGCTTGATAACACCCAAACAGAGAAGCTGGAAAAAAATCAATCAACACCAGTTACTTCATTTTGGAATTAACCACTGATTCTATTCAAGCTAGTTTGTGCCATAAGAACCAACAGCTGCTGTGCCTGGAAGCCAAGGAGAAAATGTCCAGTAAACACTAGACAAAGCTTTCTGGTTTTTAAAAGTTTGTACACTTAACTCTGACTTTATACTTAGTCCCTTTTTAATGAGATCACAACCCAGAAAAGTAGTCATATTTTTGAAATTTAAGGTAAAGAGAGAAGTGAGGTGGAATTGAAGATCAGCTATATGTAGATTCCACTGGGACTCGAAATTAACATGTAGAAAAGAAAAAGTAATTTGGGGGGTAGTAGGATTATAAGTGGTTTTGTTTACTTAAATCATTTTATGGTATTACATCATCTTTTCAATAATAAACTTTTAAAAAGCCAGTCCAGACCTTATATATTCAAGAGATAAAGAACAAAATAATAAGTCAACCTTCTCTTTCTTTGAATTCTCAAAGATTTGTTCATTTATCAAGTTAGATAGTCTGAAAGTTGCATATCTAAACATACTTTTATTCACCATAGAAACACCATAGGTCTAGTGCTTTTTTTAGGGTCCACAAAAAGAAGTGGCCAAACAGCGACTGTTTTTGTATTTTCTGTACATCCTGTAGTTTAGACTCGCATTCTTCATGGAGATTGCACAATAAATTTCTGTAAAAATTTACTACTGGGAAACAGTTTAAGGGAGCTTATGTATTTTAGATAATAGTTTTATAGCTCAGTAATAACCAAAGTGAAGTATGCACAAAGATTCATGCCCCAAGTGAAAATATTAAAGTTTTTTTCTTTTACAGCAATAAGCATTTATTAATAATTTTTCACATGTGTCGGGCATGTAATCAAGAAATAGACATGTGGCAATAATATGTTACATGTT